CCCCACCCAAATTTTCTCTTCTTTGAACTGTCATTTATGACTTCTCTTACCCTTAATGTTAGTGTTGCTAAGAGGGATTTTTATCTCTACCGTCCGCAAAGAAGTGTGTTCGCTTGAACAGTGCCTGCCTGCCTACTCCTAAATCGTGCACCCGGTCTTGCTCTTTCAGATGGAGGACCTTCCGGATGACGTCTTGCTGCTAGTGATGGCGCGACTGAGCCTGGCGGACCTCATCCAGTGCCGCCTGGTCTGCAGGAGGTTCGCGCCGCTGGCGCTACACCCAGACGTGTGGCGGCGCAGGCGGCTCACTCAAAACGACACGAGCGGCCCTTGGCTCTGCGCCGCGCTGCGTCTGGCGCCGTTTGCTGACTCGATGAAGATCACCGTCCCCACCGACACCTGCGAACTGATGTTCTCGGCTCCGTTCGCCGTGAGGAGGATGGAGGTGACCGCCGAAGGAAAAATGGCCAAGGACGCTGCCAAGTTCATCAAGAACCAGGGGAGGCTCGGGCGGCTGAAGGACATTCGGCTACACTTCGGGCACAATTTTTACCCTGATCGTTTGTCTCCAAAAGATACCTCCAACATGTTCGAAGCCGTGGCGTCCGTCTCTGGACTACATCAGCTTACAATTTTTGTGTTTAATGAAGGAGACATTCCTTGCGAGCGCAACCCCCGCTACCTAAAGCTCGACGTCACTCCGTCGCTGACGAGTTTCACGTGCTCGGTCAGGCCCGGGACGGAGCACTTGTACGACTTCATCCTGGCGGGACATGGTGCCACCCTGAGGGACGTCAGCCTCTATTGCGAGCCGTACTTCGCACCGTCACCTAAGACGGGACTCCTGTTGTCCCGGATGCCCCATCTCACAGAGCTGAACTGCCCCATCTTCTCTGGCATGGAGGTCTTGGCGGAGTGCGCGAGTCTAGCCACCGTACACCTCCGTGACCTTCGCGCTGACGCTCATCCGCTCTTGTACCTCGTTTGGCCGTCGGTTCGCTACCACTGCCCTTCGGCCGTCTCGTTCCTCAGCCGCGCTCACCAGCTGCGCACCGTGGACCTCGGCTACAGGGATACCGACCTCGGCGTCGAGCTCCTGACGGCGCTGGCCTCGTCTGGCCGCTCTAGGGTGGAGGAGCTGCGTATCGACAGCGACATCGAGGACTGGCACAACCTCCTGCCCCAGCTGCCGGAGCTGCTCCGCGCGATTCCTCTGCTGCCTGCACTCCGCCGACTCAAGGTGAACTTGTCTAAGGACGCCAGCCTCGCCAAGGAGCTGCTTGCGAAGACTGATCCGTTGCAGATACAGGTGCATTTCGACTATATTGGATGTTGCAATTAGGTTTCTGTATTGTTTTTTTTGCCATTCTAACGGCTTTTCGGCAAATAATTGTTTAGTTTTAATTCTCTTGACTGTTTTTTTTGCGAGAATACTTCAGTCATCAACATTTTGATAAAAGTTAAAAATCATTTCCGTACTTGTATCATAATTATGTGTTTATCTTCAAGATAGAGTCGAATAATGTTCGAAATATTTTTTTTGTTTGTGTAAGAA